ACAGGCTGAACATGCAGCTGGTCTATCAGGTTTAGGGTACAAGAATGAGGGGTCTAATGAGTCTTGAAGGGCAGAGGGCCTTCTAAATGAGGAGATGGAACAAAGCCCTTACAAAATTGTCGTGATGAAGATAGCATTTCAAAAATGTCTTGGGGGGGATCAAAGACAGGAGGAAAGAAGGGAATTTTGAGATGAGTGAACCCACATGGCCAGAGGCCAATTAAATACTACCTATCTCATAAGCATAAGGAAACACTGCTTATTACATGTGATGTGATAAATACCAAGACGGAGATTTGGACAGAAGGTGAGAAAACAAAAGGAAAGCGGTTAATCCCAGAGAAGCTGTGGAGAAAAACTATACAAGAGAAAGAAAATGCAGACAATCTACAGCTTTAAAGAACACTAATATGGGGCTAGGAGAGGACGCCATCAGCACCAAAAGGAAGAGAAAGGGAACTTGTTTGAGAAGTATGAACCTGTGGTCAACTTTTGGTATGATCAGTAAATCAAGAAAATTGTCTGTTATGACCTTTGTACAGAGACAAAACAACTTTATCTTGCCTTATTCTTTAAACATATTATTCTGAGAAAACAACATTATAAAACAAACTAAACTCCATTCTAAATGGGCAATAAAGAAGCATTTAATATACACAATAATGTCTGAAGAAAATTGTAACCTTTCTTGGAGATCATATTTAAAAAAGCAATGAATCTAAAATGGTCATAAACTTAATGAATCATCTCATTTAAGTCTGAAAGGTTTTTTGATAAATCAGAAACATGATAAAGGATGATCAAGAATTTTACATCAGTAGAAATGTCTGTCCTTAGTAATATCTGGATAAAGCTAGGCTGGGAAGCAGGGGGATTAGATTATTCCTTGAGATCCCTTTGGTCCCTCTGATTCAGCCTTCTCACCATAAGGAAAAACTCACTCATATTCACTCACCAAGCTTAGACAACTCCATCCTTTTTTTAGACCACGTATAATATTGCAAAAGCCCTTTATAGGCCTGAATCAAGTTGATTAGCACTTCCTGGGAAGACGATTTTTCACCGTATCTCCATGTCTCTGCCTGGCTGAGGTTTCTGTTGGCGTCATCAAGCATCCCATGATGCAGAAGGTACAATGCATGTTGCAAGGAGATCTGCAACAATAAGAAAACGCCCACTGCCACACAGGTCATTAGACAACCATTAGTCAGAAAGCTCAGTAAACAGATGATATGTGCTGGGTTAAGACCTTGGTAGGACACAAACGATGCAACAACATTGTCCCTGTCATCAAAAATTTCAATCTAGCAAAGAGGAAAGATACATGAAACAATTAACACTATGTAAATGACAGCAAAATTATATAAGCTTACAAAGAGAAGACAGCGTGATCCAGTAAAAAGAAAAGGGGCTTTGAAGACAGAGCGCCCTGGCTCAGATGCTACTTAAAAGCGACAAAAACAGAGTAGAATGGTGGTTGCCAAAGGCAGAGGATGGAGGAAACAGGGAGATGTTGGTCAAAGGGTACAAATGTTCAGTTCTAATATGAATAAGTTCCAGGGACCTAATGTGCAGTATGGCAACTATAGTTAATAATACTGGATTGTATACTTGAAAGTTGCTATGAGGGTAGAGCTTGAATGTTCTCACTGAAACCACCAAATGGTGATTCTGTGAGGGGACAGATGTGTCAAGTCACCTCATAGTGATCAATATTTCACAANGTTCTTTCACAATGACTCTGAGATAACAGGACGTCTTTATGAATTTCCTAGAAGCCATTATTCTTCATCCCATATATTATGACCTAATTTTGAATTTTTGTCCCCTTCCCTTCTATGTCCCATCGAATCATAAAAGATCATTCTGCTTTTATTTTAAGCTCAATAAGAATAATATAGAATTGACATTTACAACCATGTCACTATTTATTTTATAAATATTTGGCCATGCCATGGTATCCAGTGGTGAAAATAAACACAAAGTAACATTTACAGTACACCAGTTAAACAAACAAAAATTATTCAGACCAAAAAAAAGAGACATCAGATTCTTTTGTTTTTTACGATATACTTTTTTGTTTTTTACAATTTTTTAACATTAGTTTCCTCCTGATCAATAAAAATTAGGCTAATAACGAAATGAAACTAACAACACTTTATGAAAAGTCTACTTACGTCTACATAACTCTTCACGAAAGGGTCCCAAACTCCAGGAATTTGAATCAACGCACAGAGGTTTATAGATGTCTTCCAGCTCTGGTTGAGCATATTTTGGGATGCTGTGTTGTAAGCATAATCATCCTCATCTGCCCAAGACAAAAGATTTTTGAAAGTCATTCAGTGTTGAAGACTTTGACTGAATTAGTAATCAATAATGCCCAAAAGAAAAGCTTAGGTCCTGATGGCTTTACTAGTGAATTCTAATGAACATTTAAAGAACAATACTAATTCTTAGAAACTGTTCCCCTACAAAAATAACAGGGGGAACACTTGCCAATGCATTCTATGAGGGCAATATTAATCTGATACCAAAACCAGACAAAAACAAGAAAATTATAGACCCCATTTCTAGGAATACTAGCCAACTGAATCCGGCAACACGCAAAAAGGGATATAGTCCATGCCCAGGAACAAATTCGGCAGATTCATTCCATGACGTCAAACGTTACTACAGTAGTTCCCCCTCACCCATGGTTTTATTTTCCATGCTTTCTGTCAACCACAGTCAGAAAATACTAAATGGAAAATTCCAGAAATAAACATTCATTAAGTTTTAAATTTCACACTGTTCTGAGTAGCAGAAAAACTTTCAACTATTGAGGATTCCCAACCATCAACATCGTCTGCTCTTGACATCCAACCATTGCCATTGTCACGGCTCAATGATCCAGGGTCATCCGAAGCAGACGAGTCTCCTTTTGAAGAATCGTCGGGTCAACGGTAGCCTACCACTGTGTCACAATGTCTACACCACTCCCCTCACTTCACCCTCATCATGCAGACACTGCATCATCTCACATCATCAGAGAAGGACTTGGAAAAGCCTGATTTAT